CCAAAAGCATCACCTGAAGATTTTTCTGAACAAGGTAAAGAAACAGAGGAAGACAACACAAGTAAGAATCATGAAGGAAAGAATATCGACGAAAACCTTGATGAGGAAAATAAGACTGGTTTTGAGATCAATCAAGAGATCAGTCAAGATCAATCAATAACCTCATCTGCTGAACATCTTCCTGAACAGCTCTCGTATACAGTCGCAAAGATGGAAATAAAAAGCTAGCCAAAAGAGGCTGGCCCAAAAGGAGAAAAGGAAGAAGGAGTCCAGCGATATCGTGTTTTCTATGAAGGTGTTGATCATGAATCTCTCTATATCGAAATCCTAGAAGGGTTTGTCGAAAAGTACAGCAAGGAGGAACCATTTATAGTGGAGCAAATGAATAAAGGCTGATAGTTTCGAAAGAAACTGTTTGGGGCTGCGTCGGTGGGAGTAACGAAATAATTTGGATATATCAACAAAGTTGAAATGGTAAATTGGCCACCGTAATGATTACAAAAGCTGACGTTTCGAGCGTTAGCCCTTCGTCGGAGCGAATAGAGGAATTGTGGGTTGTGTGTGCTTTTAAAGGCAGAAAATGGAGCTACGTTATTGGTGGGTGCATGGCAACGAGAAAAACATGAATAAATTAGTGGAATGAAAAGCGTTCATTGATCCCTGTGGGATTGAGACTGCCGGTTTGAAAGATGAGCTTTTGTTCAAGATTTTTACGGCTAATGAGCAACCAGGCACTTTTAAATGCGCTCGTGCGCGATGCAAAACGTGTCCTTTCATTCACAACACTGATAAAATATCGGGACCTAAACGATCCATTAAGATCACCGATCACTTCACGTGCACCTCCGCTAATGTAATCTATTGCATAACTTGCACTTATTGCAAAAAGATATACATCGGCGAAACGGGCAGAAGACTAGGTGACCGATTCCGAGAACACCTTCGAGACGTGGAAAGGAATGACAAGGACACATCTAAACCAGTCGCTAGACATTTTAATTTACCTAATCATTCTAAGCAACATATGGCAATCTGCGGTCTTTCCTTGCACTTAGGTGGCACGGAAAGCCGTAAAAATCTTGAACAAAAGCTCATCTTTCAAACCGGCAGTCTCAATCCCACAGGGATCAATGAACGCTTTTCATTCCACTAATTTATTCATGTTTTTCTCGTTGCCATGCACCCACCAATAACGTAGCTCCATTTTCTGCCTTTAAAAGCACACACAACCCACAATTCCTCTATTCGCTCCGACGAAGGGCTAACGCTCGAAACGTCAGCTTTTGTAATCATTACGGTGGCCAATTTACCATTTCAACTTTGTTGATATATCCAAATTATAACACCATTATGGATGCCCTTAGGGGGTGGTCACGGGAGCTGGATGTAATGATGCGCGAGCTGGTGGGAGGCAGAAGCACAGACGTACTGCGAAAGATGCAGAGGGCAGTGCTCTTGGGCACGCTGAATATTGCCCGGACTTTCAAGGTGGCAGTCTTTGAGTTTCTGTTAGATGGAGGACCGTAGACACAACGTAAAAGCCTTTTAGGATTAGTTAATGGACATTTATTTATTTAATTACTCCATGGCTCACAGGTTACGGTTTTCGCCCTGTGCTGCCTGATTGGAATGTAGCATTCAGTTTATTTCTCTGCGATAATAATAATAATGAATTATTGGACACATGTCACAGTTCTTAAAAAAAATTAGCAAACAGTGAGTGTGTATTTACGTGTATATTTAAAAGACCATGTTGGACATTTTTATTCTCGGAACCTTTCGGTAAAGTCAAATTGTTATGTATTTTGGTTAATTTGCATTATAGGGGTCAAATTTTCTTCTTTGTTGGCCACTTGATCGCAACGAAGCGCTTACCAATTACTGATAACTTTAAAAGGACAAAACGATAGAAACTTATTAAATCGAGAAACAAAAACGAGAAACAACACAAGAAAAGTAAAGAGAAAAGAACTAGAAAATGTTGGAAATGGAAATTTTTTTCTTCGCAGCCGTCGGTTAAAACAGACTAATAACGTTACTAAACGTCACCAAATGGCTGCAAGCGTCATAGGTCTCTCCCTTGATTGGCTGACTTAAAAGAATGATGATGTCATAATTCTAATTTTTGATCAACAAAGATAACAATATTTTAAATGCCGATCAGCCATAGTCTATAAAAATTCTAAAACTACATGAAATATGTCTATCCATAGGTTGTTATTATTCATTTTATTAAGATGGTTGTTGATATCTTCTTATCACATTTATCATCATCATCATCTTCGCAATTATTACTATCATTCTCGCTTTTTCTGTCCCAACAAACAGTCTTTACCACGTGTATTGTTATCTATTTTTTATCACGAAACCCGCGTATCTCCACTAAAACGGGACCGAATATTTGGCGTCAAAGGTAATTTCTCAATTGAAACATATTTCGCGTTTCATACCTAAACCTACCTTCACAAACTCTAAAATAACCATGAGATTCCTTAGTTACTCTGGATGGAAATTTTTCAACGTGCTGGATTTAATATTATTACGGATAAAAAGTTGCAGTAAAATTCTT